ACTAATATACAAAATATTAAAAACTTTTTTATCATTAATATTTTTAATAAAAGTATAATTATTTTTTTCATTTAAAGATTTTTTGATTTCTTGACCATATTCTTCATACCAAATTTCGAGTATTTGCTCGTATTGACTAGATTTAGATGTAAAATCATTAATAGTTTTTTCGTAATTGTAATCACGGTTTAAAAAAGACTGAATGTCTTCAAATTTTATTTTCTATTTAATTTAAATAAAAAAAATACAAAAAAAAATTAATTTCCAATAAATTTAATCTCATAATCACTATGAGATTTTGAAAAAATTGCTGCTGCTAATTCTTCAGGATGTCTTTTAATTTTTTCAATCACTTCATTATCAATACCTTTAGGAATAACCCTTCCTTTTAATGAACCATAATTAACATTTTCACCATCTTCAACATAACATAATAAAAAAGCATTAAGAACCTTTCTACTTCCTTTTTTACAACTAAGACCAGCAACACTTTGTTTCTTTAAATGACTTTTTTTCGATATTACTTTCATAATTTTAAATTTTGACTTATTATCTTCATTACCATATTCTTCTTCCCAAATACCAATTATTTTATTATGTTTTTTTTTTTCAGATGTAAAAAAATTTGACTCGATTTGATAATTATAATCGATTTTGCCGCTTCTATGATAAGAAATAATTTCTTTTCTTACATTGTTATTTCCAGGAACTTCTATAACCATTTTTTCACTGGATTCTTTGTCAGACATCTATTAACAATTATAAGATTAAAAATAAAAAAAAAAATAAAAAATAATAGTTTTTAATAAACGTACTTTGTAATTTTTAAACAGAATCTTGTTAAAATTATTCTTTTAATACGATGATTTTATATTAAAAATTAAAAACTATATTCATATAGTATACGAAAAATATTATCAAAATGAATAAAACCAAAATAAGGTCTAAAAATATCTTTGTTATAAGAATTCTAAATAAGTATATAGGAATAAACAAAAGAAGAAGAACAAAGCTTTTAAAAATATTTTTTACGTAAAACCAATTTTTGGAGTGAAATTTTTTTAAAACATCTTGTGTTTGAATAATATACAAAACCCAGCCAGGTATTTTTTTTTTGATTTCTTCGATAACTTTTTTTACTATTTCAATATTTAATACATAATCAATAACTTTATCTAAAAGAATATTATACTACCACATAATTGTTTCCATTAAGTCTTTATAAAGACAATATCTAAAAAACTGTACTTTTTGATAATATTCATATGCGAGTGATTTATGAATGGTTATCTCATTTTCTTTTAATTCAAACATCTTATCATGATAATCAATAATTTATTATGTTATATTTCTAATAACAATCAAACCATTGTTTATATTTTTTCTTTGTTTTATTAAAGTGATTTCTGCATCTAATCGCACCAAAATTTTGCTTGCAGAAGAATTTGTCATCGAATTTACATCATCATCAGACATTTTTTTCTAATTTATAAATAAACTTTATTTAAAAATAAAAATAATTATAAATTTTAATAATATATTGATAGGCTATTTGAACATTGTGTAACCAATATTTTAAATAAATTATAAATAAAAAAAATAAAAATAGAAAATAAAAAAAAAGAACAAAGAACTTTTATAAAATTAGTATTAATTACATTAAAAATATAATAATAAAAATTTAACTTACTTTAATGATATAAACGAAAATAAATATTGTGTTCTAAAATCAATTCTATTAGTATTTATATTATTTAAATATAAAAATCTATTATTATAATAACTTACAATGTTTGAAATATAATAATATATATATTTATTATAAATTTAGATAAAAAATATAATCTAATTATACAAATTAATGCAACGTTGAAGCGCAATATATGCTTCAATAATTTTATTAGAATGATCGGTGTGAGATACATTTTTTTTTTACTTTTAATTTTAATAAACTCTATTTATAAAAAAAAATAATACTGATAATTATTTTTATTTTAAAGTGTATATATCTTTATTTAATAATATAATCAATTTTATTTTAAAATAATACAACGCATATTGATTTCTAAAATATGATTTAAAATAATAAATATAAATAAAATAATAATAATATCAATCACTCGGTATAAATATTTTAATATAATAAAATAAAATAAAAAAAGAAAAAATGCTAACATCTCGTGAACATAAGGGTTTCTAATATAAATAAAAATTTTTTGCTTTTTAAATTCTATGTAATCAATTGTGTTTTGTGTTAATAAGTTTATCATTTCTGTTTTAGTTTTTATTTCTATTCTTTGTTCGTCAAGAATTTTTTTAATTCTCTTTAATTCTTCATATAGCCTTCTTCTCCATTCATTGTGTTTCTCGTGCTTCTTTTAAAATTTCTGATAAATCAACATCAGGTAGTTTAGGTAAATCTGGAATTTTAATGTTTTCAATTTTATTTTCTATTGATTCTGTTTTTTTGTTAATTATTTTTTTTAAATCTTCATTATCAATTTCATCTATAGCATCTTTAATATCTTTAATATCATTTGCTATATTTAAATTTTCTAATGCTTTTTTTAAAATATCTTCAAATAAAGGTTGTAAATCTTGTATTGCTTTTTTTACAGCATTATTTATATCTGGTATTAAATTAGTTAACTTTTCAAAAAGAGCATTATAATTTGTTTGTAATTGTGTGTTTTGGTTAGTTTTATCTTTTAATAATTGTTGTATACATTTCAATTCACCAGACAATTGTGTTTTTTTGAATCTTGTAATCGGGTTTTAATTCACCATTTTCTGGTTTTTGAGAATCAGCCATATTTAAATTTTTTTTTATTTTTTTTTAATATCTCAAGTTTAAATATTTAATTTTAAAATAATAATATAAATTATTAAAATAATTATAACAATATAAATAATATATTTAAATAACAAATAAAAACATAAATTATTTTTTAGTTACTTAAAAATAGTTCTTTGTTTATTATTAGCTGCTTGGACCAGTTCATATAATATACTCATATCTTACAAACAACAATACAATAATGCTGTTTGGTATTATAATCGTACTGGCCGATATCAAAATAATTCTAGACAACTTTTACAAAA